CCCTGAAACGGAAGGCACACTGTGCGGCGGAGGTTCGTTTGGCACTGAGGGAGGTTAAGTTAATTGTTCTGTCTAGTACAATACGAGTGAGTTTCTGAGCGTTTTACAAACTTAGTACTTAAGTAGCTGGGCACAAGACCATTGAGACATTTAAAGATCATGGTTACATCACGTAAGCATAGTAGCTCCTCGATGGTGAGCCGACCAGGTTCATGTAAGACTGGGGTAATGTGATCAAACTTTTTTGTGTTAGTGAGTATTCGGCCGGCAAAGTTTTGCATGAGTTGGAGTTCATGGATGTTTTTTTAGAAGTTCCAGACCATACGACCGAGCAGTAGAACAGTTTGCTAAAAACTAGGGAATTTAGGATTATGTACAGTACATCTTTAGGGAACAAGTGTTGTACCCTATTTATTTGAATTAATGTTGACAAAAGAGAGGAGGTTAGTGAAGCGATATGGCCATTGAAGGTCAGGTTCGAGTCAAGTGTGACGCCAAGGTCTTTGACGGAAGTTACAGGTACTTAGTCTTGACCAAGGAAAGGTACGGTGATGTTACTGGGCAACTTGGAGATAAGTTGCCTCACCCCAAACAGGATTGATCAAAAGGTGGTTCGCGCAACACCACTCTGAAACATGTTTGAGATCCTTAGCAACTTGGCGTAGACATGAATCAATGTCCTTTGACGCGAACGAAAAATATATCTTAGTGTCATGAACGTAAGATTCGATATTACTGAACTTGATGACTTTGGGTAGATCATTCATGTACAGGCTGAAAAGCGTTGGGCCAAGAATTGAGATCCTTAGCAACTTGGCATAGACATGAATCAATGTCCTTTGACGCGGACGAAGAATATATCTTAATGTCATCAACGTAGGATTCGATATTACTAAACTTGATGACTTCGGGTACATCATTCATGTACAGGCTCAAAAGCGTTGGGCCAAGAATTGAGCCTTGAGGTACGCCATGTGTAATGGTGAGTGGTTCTGACAATGAAGTTGCAACCCGAGTGGACTGTTTTGGGCAATTATGCCAACAATTTTATGCTCCTTAACGACTTCCCACTTTTCCTTGACTGTTAATCCTTGGTATACCGGACAGGAAGCGAGCAGATGCTTAGACGAGGGGACAAGATTCATCATCTTTTGTAGTGCTAACGTCATTGGCGTGATGATCGGTTCTTCTACCTCCGCGGTCTTTGTAGCTGCTGCTTCCCTCAGTTTCTTTCTTTCTTTCCCCTGGATCGAAAGGCTGCTTCTTGGTGGAGCCAAGCGACTAAATTTGCCACATTTTCTTCTTTCTTTTGTCGCTGCATCTCCCGCGTTGTCCTTTGGTTCAAGTTTCGACATAAAGAATGGCGCTTCACTTACTTCGTGAACAGGACAGCCATTGTTCTCCATGTCACTTACAAACACTGATATCGAGGTTGCGAAACGTCCCAGGCTCTTCGAGTCGCCTTTTACACTGCTGTAGTTATCGATTTCCGCCAGAAGCTCGTCCATTAACTTCCTTTTATCTGCGAATTCTATGTCTAGAATCTCCCATGCTGTATCTATGTTCTTGCAAGTCTTCAACTGTTCTGTCCACCAAGGACCCTTGGGGATGGCTTTAAGAAATACCTGAAGTTGTTCGTCCTTATCCTGGCCATGTTTATTCATCCAATGCTGGAATTCCCTTTTCCAGGTTAAGTACGCCTTGCGTGACCCATCCCACGTTGGAGCCGGTAGCTTTTCTAAACCACTTGCGTGCGGTTTTGTTGCCAAATTTTCTGCCATTTGTTTCACTGCTTCAGCGACTGATCCGAGAATTGCAGTGTTTTCAGAGGTGTTTTGCGATGCTGATTGGAGGGTACTAACACTCGCGCATTTTTGAAAAGTTTCTTAATGTGGAGGTTTGATTTCTTCTCCTGAATTCTGATTTCCCGTTATTCTTTCGTCTTCTGACGCCAGACCCTCTCCAACTAATCTATAAGCAATGATCTCTATCTGTTTCTTGACAGCCCTGTACTTTGACAGCCGCCAATAAGTTCAGTTCGGGTTTCACAGAATAGAGCGTTTCAAATTCTACGAATAATTCATTAAGTGCGTATTTGGCGTTTTCTCTCTTCTCAGCGAGGGTCTTTAAATCGATCTTTGGAGGCATCGTAATGCGATTAAATTGTTGTCAATCTTTCAGCGTTCACGCCGTTAGCCTTGTTTTCATGCAAAGAATTTGATGTGCGGTCCTCACGCGATCACGATATCCAACCAAAAACCAAAGAATCAGCAAATTTGTACCTTTGTTCAAGAAGTCTTGTCCTAAGCTTATGGCGTAGGTTTTCAAAGACAGTCGGTCGCTCCTTTTTGCTGTCGGTCGTCCGTTTCCCTGTCGCCAAGATGATCTTCTCGATGACTAATTGACCTTTGGTGTATGTCCTCTTGCATAGTAGGAGGGGGGAGGTACACAATAGGGAGGAGGGAGGAATGCCCTGAAAAAGTAGGGAGAAAAATAAAAATGAAATAAAAATGTTGTGGGAGTAGGGAGATATCGATGAGAAGGTAATTTTAAGGCTTTTTTTAAATTTGCGTGATGCCAACGGATGAGGGGGATGGGACAATTGACGTACACTGCTACTACTTGACTCCCTTGGTCGGACTTAACCGAGAAAGCATGGAATCAAACTTGACTCATCTCAGGTTACCAAGTTTAAAAATTGGCGACGGGCAACACACGACTCATGCCCTTGGCTCTAACAAATGGATCCTCAGTGTATTTCCTTGCGATATGACATGAGGGAAGGCTCCTTAAAGATATCCATTAGCCGTTGTTGGTTTAGTATAAGGTGCAATTTCCCCATTAGTATTTTCGTTAGGCTAGGTTACGCTGGGTGGTATTGACTTTATGTATTTTTTTTACGGGTTTTCCTGTCGGCGAATTTTACCTCAGAGAGGTACTTTCTGACAATAGCGGCGAGGTAGCATCTTTCTATCAGGCGATTTTCGAAATTTTTGGATATTTTTCTCAAAAGGGGTTTGAGCGGAATAGGTCCCTAGAAGCCGGAGCGCTTCTTCTTTAAGATTAGAACTTCGTGTACTGAAAAGTTTCTATTGGTTTGTAATGTGTTTGCAAAAGCAACAGCTATCTTTGTTCCCATGACAGTTCCATGGGTTTTGTAGGTAGTTGCTACTGCAAAATTGAAACGCATTTTCTGTTAATCTAAGTTGGAGTGTTTCTCTTAAATACTTGGTAGGTATGGGGGCTTC